GACGGGGTGGCATGTCGCATTGCCCGTGGCCTGAAGCTTCAACTTCACGCCAGTCGCAGCGTCGATGGAGATCAGCTCGTAAATGTTCTCACCCAAGGTGTCGCTCGCCAAGGCGACTTTGGCGCCAACCTCAAACCCTTTGTCACTGAGCTTGTCCACTTGGTTCGACCACTTGCCCGAAGCGGTGTACTCTTTCACATCTGAGCGACGCGCCTGCCCTGCCAGGGCTTTGGATGCGCTCTCGCGACCGATCTGCTTCCATGGGCTAGCAATTGCTTTGCCAACGTGCGTTGCCAACGCAGTGGTGAAGCTGACCCCGATGTCATTCAGCGTCTTGCAAGTGCCTAAGCGCTCATCGGGCTTGTTGAACACGAAATGAACTACGCGAACGTCAGTCAATCCCACGATGGTGCCGTAGGCGACCGTGTCTGCCGTGATGCCCTCACCGCATGCGATCTGTCGCACTTTCTGAAGAAATTCATCGGCCACCATTACAATCGTAGACTTCTTATCGCTCGACAAGGCGGTCACGTCGCCTGGCTTCAAAAGCATCTGATGGCCATCCCTCGCGAACTTACCCGTCGCACATGTCATCGCCTTCATGCATGCGAGCTTGAATGTCGCAGCGGCCCCCTCATGCTTGATCTGCACCTCGGCGAGAGACTTCGCCATTGAACCCGTGACCACGCACTGGGAGGTCAGCTGCCGCGAGAAGTCGCGAAGCTCGTTCAGAAAGATCGGGTTGCCGAGGCCGCCAGACAACTCCTTCACATATTTTACTAAGCCATCGATCTCCCCAGGAAAGAGAGAGCCTGCGCGAGTCGCCTCGCGGATCACACTATCCCAATCGATCATGGTGCCACCCGTGTGGTGTCGGTTGGCAATTGCTGCGATCTTGCACATGAGACTCATGCGAGATTCGCATCTGGCAATTTGTTGGCCTGCATTGCCAGCCTCCTGAGCAAGATTACTAATCCACGGGAACTCCTTCACGAACTCGTACCGAAAGACCTTCCACTCAATTCCTTCGTCACACGCCTTAGCGTAGTCTGGTTGAACCTCCCGTAACCTCGTCAGTGACAATTTCCCTTGGTGCGAGATTCTGTCGAAACGCTCTGGCATGACCGTGGGTACTGGAACCCCTGCGTTGATGCAACGCAAACCCATGGATGTGTGGCCGCACGTATAGGATGCGAACTTTGCATCGCAATCATACTGCGGCAGCTGGCCCGCTGAGTCCTCCATCATTTTGAAATTGAAGTTCTTGATTGCATTGTACTCAGGCGTGCCCACTGGTGGAAGTTCCATGCAAGCTGGATTCTGGAGGGCTGAGTTCTTGAATCCATTTTTGAAGATCTTGGAAATCAAATCCATAACCTCGCTCGGAATGATTCCATCTCCGTAACGATTCTCTGTGCACACCATCATATACTTCGAGTGTATTTTTTCTACCCTCAGGCAGTCTATGCCTCTTGCAATGCTGCATACGTCTTCAAGTAATGAGACCACCGCTGCATCAGGATGCAAGTACATGTCCTTGATGGCCATCATCTTGGGGCGGACCTCCGCGATCTGCTGTTCACGGGAGGCGTTCATCACGCCGCGTGCAGGAGGACGCCACAAGCGCCAGCAGCAATCCTCGCCCAAACGGCTGGAGCCCAAACTCTAGTGACATTCAAAAACATGTGCAACAGAGGGTTGCGAATTCGAAATGATATGTTGCATTTGCAACGCACAACATTCTTGTAACGCTCGGTACAATATTCTGAATGCGTTCGCACGCAAGTCTGGATCATGATTTCCGATATGCGTGATCCCGAACATCCAAACACATGCATGCGTTTCTGGAGGCAACATCCAAGGAAAACCCGATGCAGCAGCTCTGTTTTCAAGTAAGCATGTAAAAGTTAGCGAAGTTAGCAACTTCGTTAACTCAAGCTATCTACCTCCAAATGCACCGCCCGAGTTAGCCGACTTAGTAACATTACTAATGGTTATAACCTTCTTGCAACCTAGTTGCAACTTACTTATAACCTACTTACAACTGCTGCTAACAATTAGTAAGGCCGAGGGCCTTCAGGCATGGGCCGGCGCCCGGGCCAGCGCCTGAGCCGAATCCGGCGCCGGCGCCGGCTCCGGCCGGCGCCGGAAAATTAAATTCCGAGGCCGTGCCGGAAAAAGGCCACTCCAATACACATTTTTGCCTGAAAATGTTAAATTTTCTGTTCCCGGCGCCCGGGAAGGCTTCGGGGCCGATTCCGGCACCCGGGCCGGCGCTCGAGCCGGACGCCCGAGCCGGCGCCCGGGCCGAATCCGGCTCCAGCGCCGGCTCTGGCCGGCGCCGGAAAATTGAATTCCGAGGGGTTGCCGAAAAGCGGCCACTCCAATACACATTTTTCTTTCGACAACGCAAACTTCTGCTCCAAGCGCTGTGGGCTGCTGCGTCTCAAGGATAGGTCGAGCAGACATTAAAGGAGGTAAAAGCAAGCACACGAACGCTATGGACGCGCGATGAGCTGCCACAAGCCAGCTTCCCGCCAGATCGGTCCAGAGTGGGAGGGGACGGAGCTGGGCGGGTGAAGGACCACCAGAGCACTGCTCCAGCGTTTCCTCAGCCCTAGGTCTGCTGGGGGTTATCCCTGTGGTAACTTTTCTGACACCTAAATAACTATGAATAAATAAATAGACAAACAAGCGAATAAATAAATGAATGAATGAATGAATAAATAAATACATAAACATTGGGGAAGCACTTCATATTATTTGTAGTGATGCTTGTTGACTGAAGTGCCATCTGATTATGTTCTCCTGTCCTTCACTGCTTTGTTCTGTTGCATTTACATATCTGTTTGCTTATATTGAGTTCCTGCTTTCAGTTTACCTTGAGTCATTACAGTAATATTATGCAGTTGCATTACATAAATTCAAAAATATGTATTAATGCTACGGGAAAAAATGTTACGGCACCTGCTCCCCGCCCACACTGCTGTGTTGCTGTTTTACCCTCCTGCCTGGCCGCTGACTGTTGCCATACTGCTTTCCAACCTCTCCGGACGTCACCTCACCCCCCTCCCCAGGCAGGGCCCCAGGGCCTCCTCCCAGCCAGGCTTCGCGCCAGTGCGGGGCGATCGAGGAAGGCCGCGGAACATGTTCGATGGGGCAACAGACCTGCCGCGCTGACGAACCGACGACGGCGACGACGACGACGACAAGGACGACGACGACGAGGATTACGACGACGACCACGACGACGACGGCGACGAAAGGACGACCATCCCGCCCCCGTGCAGGCGCGCCCCCGCCCTTCCCTGCCCCCGCGCGCGCGCTGCTGTGGACTGGCGCCCCCCTCTCCCCCCCTGAACGCGGGCCGCTCCTCCTCCTCCTCCTCTCCTCCTCCTCCTCCTCCTCCTTCCTCTCTCCTCCTCCTCCTCCCGCCTCCTCCTCCTCCTCCTCCTCTCTTCTCCTCCTCCTCCTTTTTCTCCTCTTCCTCCTCTTTCTCCTCCTCTCCTCCTCCTCTTCCTTTCCTCCTCCTCCTCTCCTCCTCCTCCTCCTCCTCCTCCTCCTCCTCCTCCTCCTCCTCCTCCTCCTCCTCCTCCTCCTCCTCCTCCTCCCCCGCATCACCATCTCGGCGTCACCCCAACATACTTGTAGTATATGTGGTTCGTCCCCCCCAGGGGCGACGCGCGCACCGAGAAATCTTATAGTGTATGCGTCGTGGCGAGCGCTTTCTGGCCATACCGCTCGGGAAACGATATACTACAAGATGGGTATACTATATGTTCGGTTCGGACGCACGGCTCCAAGCAGGACATTTAGTATTAGTATGTCTGTCTCTGTGTGTCCCATCATCAGTAGCATCATAGCCGCCATCATCATCAACATCAGCATCATCCTCATCACCATCCCGATCAGCATCGAGGTCTACTCCTCTTTCTCGACATTCCGGCCAGAGCGCGATCCAGGCGACTTCCAGAGGTTTTGGGATTGCGTTGTCATCGCCGCCGTCGTCATCTTCGCCGCAGGTCTTCCTGCCCACCCCGTTCTCCACGCGGGAGGGGAGGGAACGGAAGGAGGAGGAATGACGTAGAAGAGGAGGGAGGGCGCGGGGTGAGAGGACAAGTGTTGTTGTGTTCGGCAGCGTGCGTTGGTGCCAACAGGTCTTCGGTGTTTATGTTGTTTCTCTGGGGGAGGCGAAGAGGACGGAGGATGATTGTTGATCCCGATGCCTGTCAGACATGTTCTGCGGGGCACCTTCCGGGAGGTCTCTGACGCTTTCGTTTGGTTTCATATGTGGCCGAACGTTTCCAGCGAGGGGGGAGGGAGGGAGGAGGGGGAGGGGGAGGGGGAGGGGGGGGGAAAGTTGGACGAGAGGAGGAGGAGGTGAGGAAACGGGAAAAGCGGAGGGAGAACAGGGCGGGGAGGAGGAGGACAAAAAGAAAAGGGAGGAGGAGGAGGAGGAGGAGCGTGGAGCAGCATCAGCACGAGAAAAGCCGCCCTATATTCCGACAGTTCGCCTCTCCTTCATTTCCTCCCCACCTCCTCCTCCTCCTCCTCCTCCTCCTCCTCCTCCTCCTCCTCCTCCCATGGGCGAGAGTGGACCACACGTCGGCGTTTTGGTGGGGGGAGGGGGGGGGGGGGGGCGGAAAGCGCGCCGCTTCCGGCCGGGCCTGGGGCCCCGCAGGTGCCTCGGAGCCCCTCGTGCTGCCCATCGTCGCCTCCGCCGGCCGTGCGTGTGTTCCGGATCGTGTCGGCATCCTGTCCCCCACACCTTCGGGGGCGGCCAAGAGAAAGGGTGATGACAAGGGGGGGTGGATAGCATGGCGGGGGGCATGATCTTTCCTCTGCTTTCTTGTCGCCTCTTCTCATATCATCACGTCCCTGGCCCCCCCCCCCCACCCTGGGCCGCGCACATGCCGCCGACCATGATTTGCACCCCCCCCCTCTTGGACGCCCCCCTCTTGGCCGCCCCCGGCACCTCTTCAAAGAGTGGCGGCGTACAGCGCCAGCATGCATCGCCTGGCGTCGGGCCCCGCTGTGCGCGAGAAGGCGCAGTGATCGTGGGCGTTCAAAAGGCCAGCCCCTCCATCACCGACATCGACCTCAGATCCGATGAGCTGGGCGTGGAGGGGCCAAGGTTTCTGCCGAGGCGCTTGGGGCCAACGCCTGCATCACCGGAACCACCGCCCTTGCGTGAGTAGCCTCCCTCTCTGGCCTCGCTGCTCGTCACAGTCCCCACCACCTCACACCACCCAGCGAGAGCTGGCACGACGCCATCTGTACAGACAGGCCGCTCAGCTGCCCTCGCGGTGGCCAGCGGTGTTGCCAGCGGTGGCCATTGCCAAAGGTGACCCCAGCTCCTGCGGGAAGGCCCAGGTTGCCTCCAGAGCACCCCTCTCGAGGCCCAGAGGGCCCCGGGGCCCCACTGGGCCCGAGACTGATGCAGAAATCGAAGAAGAAACACACATAATAGACACAAACCTGCGAAGGTCCGCGCAGATTTCTGGAATCGGCGTAACACCCCTCTCCCCAGCGCGCGGAGCGCGCCAGGTGCGGCTCCAGAAGCGCCTCCCGGGGGCCCCGCACCGATCCGTGAAATCCGCGCGGACCTAAATGCTCTTGTCGAGTTCTGCCTCTTTACGGTTGGCGCCGCAACGATAGCGTGCGATGTGGCGCCGCTTGCCCGCTCATGCCTCCCTCCTCCTCCTCCTCCTTTTCCTCCTCCTCCTCCTCCTCCTCCTCCTCCTCCTCCTCCTCCCTCCTCCTCCCTCTCCCGCCTCCCTCCTCCTCCCTCCTCCTCCTCCCTCCTCCCTCCTCCTACTCCTCCTCCCTCCTCCTCCTCCTCCTCCTCCTCCTCCTCCTCCTCCTCCTTCTCCCACCTTGGGGATGGCGTGCACCAAAGACCCTACAGCAGGGGGACGGCGTGCACAGAAGGGGCCCTCGCGGGGGGACCGCCCCACGGGGCGGGCGTGCTTCGGCCGCAGGAAGGCGGGGCGCCCTTGCGGCGAGGACCCCCGAACGTCCTCCGATGCGATTCCTGCCAGCGGCCCCGGAGTCCCCGACCCCCTCCTCCTCCTCTCTCCTCCTCCTCCTCTCCTCATCCTCCTCCTCCTCCTCCTCCTCCTCCTCCTCCTCCTCCTCCTCCTCCCATCGGGAGCCGTGAGACGGGGGTCAATGCAGACGGGGGTCAGCCAGGGCGCCGGATCCTGCAGGATCCTGCGAAGACCCCCTCTGGCCGAGCCGGGTTATAGCGAGAGCCGCTCGCGGCGGCGAGGCGGCCGCGCAATCATGGGCGGACCCGGGTTTGCGAGGCCCGCAGTGTTTGGTTTCCTGCTGACCCGGGTCAGGATTGACCCGGGTCAGAAGGACCTCCTCCCCCCAGGGGGGTAGCCTTCCGTCCCGCATCCGTGCTCGATGGCCCCTGGGCCCGCAACCGGGCCCCGGAGGCCGAAGCCGAGGAACACCCGCCAGAGTTACAAGTCGGGCCCGTCCCTCTACGGGAGGGAGGATAAAAAAAAAGTCCAAACATAGCCTGGGGACGATTTGAGGACTACTTTGGAGCATGTTTGGGGGATTTCTGGTCATCTTTCATTGTTCGCCCAACATGTCCCTGTTGGGGGACAGGCCCGACCTACAGATAGAGGGAGTTGGATCCTCGGAGGTCTGGCGGCCACCTCTGGCGACCTTCGGCCCGATGCCCCCCCTCCTTCCGGCGGCCGCCTTCCGGAGCACCCGCGCGGCCCTGCGCGCGCGCGTTCGCGCCCGCTCGGGAGGTCCCGAACGGGGACGGAGGGGAGGGGACATCGAATGAGATTTAAGAACGCGTAAACTGAAGTCGGGCGTGTCCCTCAACAGGAGGCATAGTCAACAATAGTCCCAAGATGTAGTCTGGGGACCATGTTTTGACTATTTTTGAGTTTGTATTTTTGTTGATATATATATATATATATATATATATATATATATATATATATATATACACATCGAAGAATCGTCCAAATCCGCCTGCGGAGGGGGGCCCAGCACCGATCCAGGATATCCGGCGGAGCTCCGAGAGTGTGCGTGTTTATGCCGGGCTGCTCCTTCCCTGTGCGACAGCAGTCCCCGGTCGTCCTGGGCAGGATTCGCGGGTGGCGTCGCCGCGGAGGTTGTCCCTTTGGGCCAGGCGTCGCCAGGCTCAAGAGCGGGCGCTGCCGATTTGAAACCGCTTGTGCTGTTGGCCGGTGTCCCCTCTCTTCTCGGGGGCTTGTTTTCCACCACCACCACCATGAGTAGGAGGAGGAGGGGGTCCTCCTCCTCCTCTTCTTCTTCCTCCTCCTCCTCAGGCGTCTTGCACGAGCATCCCCAGCATCATACACGCCTAACCTCTCCCCTTTACACATATCTCCCTGCTGCGCCATGCCGCTCACTCATGTTTGAGGGACCCCCGTACGGCACGTTGGTGTGGGAGTACCATGGAGACTCGTGATTTGAACTTCGTGGTCCATAACGTTTGTTCTCTAGTCCAACCTGGTCGGCATGAGGAGTTTTCTGTTGCATTTGCTTCAAAGGACGTTCAATTCTTAGTGGGCACCCGTATGAGAAGAAAGCCAACTGACAACGTTTGTGTCTCGATCTCGGACTCCAAGTTGCGTATACTTAGCTGGGGATACGGACGATCACCCCTCACGAACGCTCATACGGGTATCCAGATTCGGCTTCGTCGTGATGTGTTTCGGCTTGCGCACATTTCGAACGTGTACTCTCCTCCTGAACGGTTGCAGGGTAGAGGTGGCGCTGTTGCCCTACGCTCTGGACGATTTCATCTCTTGTGTATTGCAGTCTACTTTCCGCCCAGGCCCACCGTCGCGAAGCAGCGGCTCAACTATCAGCGGACAGTAGACGAGCTTGTGCAGTGGATGATCAGCATTGCCGCCGAGCAGCCCGCGCGCTGCTCTATTGTTTTCGGAGGTGACTTGAATGATAACGCAGGTGTGCCAGCTAGTGATTATATTCCTGATGAGTTCAACCCAGTAGGCGATCTCTTTCCTCGACCTGAGCATTACTGTCTTAAACGAATCCGAGAGTTTATGGAGCAATTTGGATTACGTTTGATTAATACTTTCGTGGGAGGTCAAGATACGTGTTACAATAAAACAACTAGTTCCAGAATCGATTACCTTGGGGCCCTTCGAAGTTGGTTATCTTCGGTCTCTGACTGTCGCATCTTGGAGCGTCTTGGGAGGCAACTACAAATGGTGCCTATTGTGCGCCGTTGGGATCACTGGCCGCTGCAAGTGTCTGTCAAATACATCTTGAGCTTCCCGCACAACCGCACCCCCAAGACCGACCTCTGGGACATGGACAGGCTCGTCGAAGGGGCGTCCGATGGGCTTTGGAGGCAGCGTTTCCTTGAGGAGGTTGAGCAACTCTGTTTTCGGAAGTTTCCTGAGTGGTCTAAGCTTGAGGCCCAAGCTGTACCTGATCGAGCTTGGGAGCAATTTGTCTTGGATATCCGTAAAATCGCCCTGAGTTACTTTGCACGTTATACTGAACCTGATGCTGTCTATGCTGCTGCACGGGATGAGCAAAGAACGCTACTAAAACAACGGTTCCAACTTCGTGTCCAGCTTGCCGAACTCATGTCGGCCGCCCCCATCATTGCCCATCCCGAAGCTTTCTCGGAGCTCAATCGTATTCAGCAGAGACTATTCGCCGTCACCAAAGATATCAAAGCCAAACGGGACCAAAATCGTCACTATCGTGTTGAATCCTTGGCAGCCCAGATTTATGATGCGTGGAAAGAACATATATGGTCTCTGGTGCATCGCTTATGTCGACGACTCGCTTGTACTACAGTCGGCCCTGGACGACGGTTTTTCAACAACCCAGTCAGTCATCGACCTACACGTGCGATGTGGGGTGATGTTTTTGGGCAAGCAGGACACTGTGGGGGACAGAGCGCTACTATGGTGGACGTCTCCCAGCTCCCTGAGGCTAGACATGATGTTGGCACAGGCTATCGGTTCTACTCCCCTGGATTCAAAGACGAAGCTGAATCCGACCTCCGCGGCATCAGAAGTGCCCTTATTACTATGCAATATCGCAAGAGTACCCCACCATGGAGTCTGCCGCTGGAGGTGTTCCGTATGATCTTACTCCCCACCCATCGCAATCATCGGAAGTTTAGTGAAGATGAGCGCGATCAGTTTGAGGCGTCTCTCCCTACCATGAACTGGCTCACACGACGGATACGAGGTATTATGTGGGATGTACGCGGCAGTGCGCACCTCCCTATCGACTGGCATCGCTCCTGGGGCTGCTGCATACCCAAGCCAACTACTGCTACTGGGCTCAAATCACTCAGGATGGTGCATCGGATGTGCCCTTTTAGCAAGGCCTATTCCAAATATCCCGGACATCGTGCTGACGAATGTCACCCTGAACGACAACATGCCGACTGCCTTCATGGAGGGCTTCGCAACCGTCGACGGGAGGGTGCCATCAAGATTCAACTTATCGCTGCCTGGCGACTTCAAAGGCTACAAAAATCACATTGTACGACCTTCTATGACCAGACGGACGCCTTCGGCAGCCTCAATACTGATGTTTTTGATGACACTGACGCCATTCACATGAACCCTGATGATCTGTTCGTTGGCCAACATTGTAATCATAATTGTATTGTTTCTCTTGGTTGTGCAGATGGCATGGGACATTATCGAATAGGCCAAGGTGTCCTCCAGGGACATCAATCGGCCCCAGTGAAGTACATTCGCAGCTTTGATCGCACCGTGCTCCAACCATGGATCGCGGAGCGCACTGAATGTGATGGCGGCAAGGATCTCATGTGCACCAGCCCTCTCAACGCCATTGACACATGCACCGTCAATCTTGCCACGACTGTTTTGTTGGATGACACGGCGCACAAGATTACAGGCTTGAACGCAGCCGACCTCGCAGCCAAAGTAGCTGCAGCATCTACGAGTTTTGCAGGCTATTTACAGCAGGTTGGGGGCGCTCTGAATGTAGGCAAGCAAGTTACGGTTCCGAAGTTTGTGGGTGGGAGAGCTAACCAGCAATCGAGGCAGCTCACGAACCCCACTTCGTCGCTTCCTGGTCGAATCGCCGTTCATG